CAATTAATAAGGAATGTTAGAAAGGGTTGGGCCTAAATAGCTTTTATACTCATTAACATGAAAACTGATACGGTCTTATCCAAAGGAATCAAAATACCTTTCAAACAAGTGCCTAATCGTTGGAGCTTCCTCTAGTAGTCTTATTGGTTTTATAATGAGCAGTAGCAATAGTAGTCCTTTTTATTGGTTTCTGCCGGAGTTGGTGGTGGCAAAAATAAACATTGCTAATGTATGCCAATAAACAAACTAATGGAGTACTTTCTTGGTTTGCATGAAAGTCTTATTTCGATGCCATCTGATCTATTTCACTGCCCACCGCACAGACAGCTTTTTAACATCCGTTAACCCCATTTTTGTTTTAGATTAAAGGCAACTAATGAATTACGCTTAATGAACATGGTGTTCAGGGTACATCAATGTGTCTCGAGGCTACAGTTACATAAACAGAGTGAACTCCGTTGTGAACTCCGTACGATTCAGCCAGTAGCCCATTCCAAACTGGGACTTCATTAAGGCTACGATAACTACCGACTCAACTGTTTGTTGATCCCGTATTGTGCATTTCGCTGCCTAATTTGTTCAGTTACACCACATTTAAGTTTCTGTTCATGACGCGTATACACACACACGTGCACAAAAAGACAACACATGATTGATTTTATCGCACGTGAACAACTGTTCGGTGCCACGTGTCCAGGCACACGTAATCGGCGGACTCTCACCTTCATTTTGTTGCTAGGACTGGAATGTGCATAAAACACTCACGTGGGTGGTTGGGGGGGAGTAGTGCTGTGAGGATCTTCAGAATCGATGTCGTCTGGTGCGATTACAGCCAGATTGCAGAATGGATTCCAGTGGTACACACAATCATATACGAGTAAACGCACATTCAGGTTTCACTTGTCTAAGTCATAAATGGAGTTTCTGGCTTTAAATCACACACACACATACGTACACGACTGACGGTCATCGTCATGCTCAAGTGATACATACCGGACACGGATCAAATATCACACATGCACAGAATGGTCACTGCTTATCCAGCTTCTGAACAGTAAAACCAATTCCTTGTGAAGTGGTCTATGCTGTAAATGAAATAAAGTGGCCATCGATGTTATTTCACGATTGTTGTGAACAAAAGTGCACCGGAGAGAGGTGTTCGAGTGAAGAACAGCAAATATCAGAGACTGAACTTCGCTTGAAAATTCAGACTGTGTGTGTGCCCGCTTATAGTCATTTGGTATGAGTTGGGGATTGACCGATGGAAAACAACTTGATTCTTTTATATGACTATTTCCTTGTGGTGGTAACAGCTGGTGTTCTGGTTTGATGCACGAATGGCGGTTGCGGTGGTGGTGGTGCTGCTGCTACTGCTACGAGCGGTGGTGATGGTAGTTGAATTGCGTGGAAACGGTGGATATTGTGAACGCTATGGAAATGACTCCCGTAGCATCTACCGTGAGGTCATAATGCTCAATCTATTAGATTGAAATGAATCAAACATCCGATAAATTCGTGCTTTATGTCTTCAAGGCTGAAACCGGTTATCGGACAGACAATGAAAAGGGGCGACTGACTCGGTTATGCCTTAGTGATTGAATGAAATTAACAAGGACACTGGGTTTCCGTGGCTTATGGAGGAATGGAGGGGGTGGTGTGTTGCAGACGGGAGAAATGATTTTCGTGTGTGTTCTGTGAAAAACTGGTTTTGACGAACTAGAGACCGACGGGTGCTAAAGAAACAATCAAGCTGTTTACAACCCAGAGTAAATGCCAATTAACAAGGGAGAGATTTCAGTTGGCTTTATCTAATCAATGCGATAAACAACAGAAATCGAAAAATTAAGGTTCAATAGTTTTAAACGATTAACCAATCTGTTACCATGAATGTAAAAACTTGTGAGAGATGATAAATTGCCAACTCCGGTACCAGAAATAAATTGCGGAAGGTCTGTGGCGAATCTGTGAATCTGTGGGGATAAGTCGGAAAACATTTTCACGTAGGGATTTACTGAATTTAGAACTAGGGAAATCTAACTTGAAAGTGAAAACTAGGCCCTAGGGAATAGCCCCTTCCTTCAATGTTAATCGAACCAGGGACCTTACTGACAGGTCAAGATCGAATTTATCCACTCAATTTCTACACAATGGGGTTCAATACATCGTTGCCATTCTCAATACCAACCCCAGAGGTTAGCTTTTTAGGATAATTAGGTGCAATGATAAAAGAGTAGTTTTAACTGATGGATACTTTACCATCGGATGCTCTAATTCAGTTTTCCATTGCACAAACTTGTGTGATTAACAACAGACGGGTTGGACCCATAATCATGAGGACTTGGTGTTCGGTGATGGTAACCGCAACCTAAGTTCTGGGACTTTGAGTGGCGAACCACATAAGGCCTCACTGGGTTAGGCGTGAGAAGCAAAGCTGCTTACCACTAAACTTGGGTGGCGATGGCGGGTCTTGACCCTCCGATTATAGGGTTCAAAGCACGCCGGCGACAGCGACTAAAAGACTGAGCCATCACCACCCAGGGATCAAAGGGACAAGTTTATTCAGAGTTACGTGTGTTGTTCTGAGGTAGTCCGTTAGTTAAATCGATAAACAAGGTGGAACTAGCTGCACGCTGCTCTTTCTCCTATTTCATTTTTTAGTTTGTTTCTGCTCAGTCCTGCTTAATCCTGTTAGACTGGTTGATGGGAGATCATAAACTTTCTGTCGAACACCGTTCTATCCAGTCTCGTTTCAGCCAACCATTCTTTCGCTATCATTTCGCACTTGTAGTCAGCCGTTCGGTTGTATTCATATCAGTACCTTCTATAAATCTGTTTCTTTTTGTCATAAGTATCAAGTTTACGTCGGTCTATTACATTGTCTCTCATTGTGTCCATAAGTTTATCAAAAAAATCCAAGTGTGAGTATCACTTGTAAGCAAGGCAACAGATGGCGTTGTTTGCTAAAATTTATGGTCCTGTT